AAAATTGGCACCTCTTATTTTTTTAATAGATACCTGTGAACACACTTATTCTCTGAGAAATAAGTTTAACACAATTATTTATACGAAATATATTTTAAAAAAATTTGTCAATATGACGTTTTTGGACAATATTTGTGAAGGTCCCCAGCTTTTCCAAGCTTAGAGTATACTCACTTTTATGATACCAAATTTGATGTTGTATGTAAAAGAGAAAGGATCGTATTTTGTTGTAAAGCAAGGACTATTTAAAAAAAATAGCAAATTGAAAGTTGATCTTCTAAAAAGCCTACCTTTTATTTGGCTAATTGTTTTTCTCTAGCTACCTATTGCAGTACTTTATAAAGCAAAATAAACAGAAAATGTAATATTTTGTTTGTAAGGCAGCTATAAAAGCTTACATTTTGTTTTTTTATTCACTTGTCGCCCAGTAATACAAGTGACTCACAAAAATACATCAACTCATAATTAACTCCTCTGAAATTTTATGTAGCTACCTGTAAATTCCTTTAATAAAAGAAGATGCAAATGGCGAGCTATGCTAATAAAGCGTATAGATCATAATATCTTTAATGTTGTTTTTTTTTGTTTTTTTTTTTCAATTGTCAAATCACCTTTCTGCAACAAATTTGACAAAGTTCAGCAAGCTGCACTATGTGACCTAATCAATATATTTTTATGATCTTTACATCACCGTAAAGCTCCAATTAAGCTCTTTCGAGTATAATTTGAATATTTTGCGGTAAACATATATAATGTGGAACATTTGCCTGAAAAACAAATATTTAGAAAAACTTGCAAGTTTGAAGTCCATTTTCTAAAAATAATACTTTTTTTCTTTAATTTTTTATTCAGTTAGGTAATATAGTAATCTGTCAGGAACTACCAACAGAAATTGTAATATATTGTTTGTATGGCCACTATTAGGACTCGAATCTAGTGCTCTGAGAGTTTTTAACGGGACTTCGCAGACGCTCAGCTGGGCAGAATTTTGACCTATGTATGTTTTTCTATTTAATATGAGTACTTAGCTCAATATCTGAGCATAAAAGCCAGGGAAGCAACAGTATTTATCCTAACAATATTTATTTAGTTGGCACTGGGGTGATTTGCAAGGTGTGTGAGCTTTGCCCTATGTATTGACGGAGAAGATGCTCAACATCTAGACTCCCGGACAAACTTATGTCAAGGGAAAAAAAGTCTAAGTAACCCGGCAGGAATCACTGAAAATAGAAATGAAACCTAAACACATGACTAACGCATTTGAAGCCTTACATGCTATGCAATGCTCGTTATTTTATGAGAGCCCGTATGTGCACAAAATAAACCATACTTCTTAAAGGGGCACTGACACATCAAAATCATATTTTTTTTTATTATCCGAAACGATTGAAAACGATGCCGGGACATTACCCTCAAAATTTGAAATTTGGGAGTTCAGTATTTGTGAAGTAAAAAAACAATTTCCAAATGCCGAATTCGAAGTTCCCGCGCGATCGGCGCCGGTGCCTTGACGTCAAAAATCGCGGAGACCTGAGAGTCGACTTTCTTTCACCACTCCCTGCTGTTGCCATGGCGACCCAAAGCGAGGAGGAAAGGAGTGAGCGGCGGCGTTACGGCGGACCGGTTTTGAGCGGTGTCGCCTGTTTTCCGTTGGAGGATACAAATCCAGGAGACGGCACCACAACGAACTCCCGATTTTTGGTATTTCAAAAAGAAGGGCCGTAGTGCGTTCGCAATTGCGTTAAAAAACATGTTTTACGATTGCCGTAATTAAATGTTATAGAGATGTCGCCTACAAAGCTTCTAAATTTCCTGATTTTTGACGTCACCGATCAAAAGAAGCGAGGAGGCGATGGGCGGGAAAATCAAACGCCAAAAATAAAAAGGCGCGCGCGCGCGCGGGAAAATTTTTTTTCGCGATGCGGTTTTTTTTGCGTGTCTATGACTGCAACTTGCATCGTTTTAGACAATAAAAATAAATACGACCTTTGGGGTGTCAGTGCCCCTTTAAGCGTCAGATACTAAATCATACATTTGTATTTGCATTGCATATCTGTTTGACGTAAGAAAACATGACAATTACATATTAATTTCGGTATTTCATACTCAAAGCCGAAAGCAAAAGGCTCCAGAGGAATTTTCTGACGATCTGCATTCCCCCGAACTAGGAGGAAGTAAGCGCGGTGCCCGCACTTGTGGATACGGACTTCAAAGTGACTGGTTTTGAGTGCACGACTCCAAATTGCATTAATGTTTATGGTTGGATATTGAGGTAACTGCTAACGATAAATAAAAAAACCTTACATGGGCCCAAAATCAGCACAGAGCCTGTGCGAAGTCCCGCTCAAAACGCTCATAGCACAATATTCGAGTCTTAATAGCGGCCATACAAACAATATATTACAATTTCTGTTGCTAGCTCCTGATAGACTACTATATTACGTAACTCTGAATAAAAATAAAAGAAATGAAAGGTGGTTTGTTTTAAAAAAAAATCCACTCCAAACCAGTCATATGTTGCGCAATATATATTCAGCGCAAAATATTCAAATTATACTCAAAGAGCTTAATCGGAGCTTTAAGGTGATGTCAAGATCATAAAAATATGTTGATTAGGTCACACAGCACAGCTTGCTAAACTTCGTCAAATATCGTCGCAGAGAGGCGATTTTACAATTAAAAAAAACATTAAGGATCTTATGACCTTGATGCTGAATTACCATAAAAAAGCATATCTCGAGCGTGTTCCCGAAAAGTTGTACTGATGTAGCGTAAAAGGTAGGGAAAAGGGATGGAGTGAAATATGGCATCCCCGATAAGCTAGAGAAACGTCAGTTTCCACCTTGGCCGCTTTAACGGCCCATAACTTGAGAACGAAAAATCCGACCAACTCACTGTTTTGCGTCTTTTTTTTTTTTTATAGGAATTGCTCGAGAACATGTATTTTTTTTTTTTGGACAAAAATTCAAAATTCGACCCAAAATTCATGCCCGAGTTGAGATGAAATCACCCATTTAGATTTTTAATAGGGAAATTGGCCGCCCATGAGTGTAATTTTGGGTCTTTCAAGATGTTTAGAGTCCGTAGATTGAGTTATCACCGTAAATAGAAAATCTCAAAATCTACTTAAAAAACTCTACTGCAAGGGTTATATTTTTTGTTTGTTTCTTTTCCAAAAAGACTGAAACTGGTTCCTGCTTGTTCATATATCGCAATCACAATATATACATGCGGGCTAATCAATGCAGTTCCGCCATACCTGCCATACTAATATATAACTGTGACTTATAGACTGGAAAATCAGCTATTCTTCATCGATTTTGTACGATGTACATGAAAAAAAAAAAAAGCAAGGATCAGACCAGACGTTTTACAACAGGTCGCAAGTCACCAATCCACAGCGCTCTTCACTTACCGTAGAATTCACAAACCTCACTCCAATTGAGGTGCCCCTCCACTTCCTCGAGGAAGGTGCGAGGGCCGGTGCTGGCCAATCGCAGCCGCCTATCTGTCGTCGCGATTGGCCAACGCCAACCCTTGCACCTTTTTCAAGGAAGTGGAGGAGCGCCTCAACTGGAGTAAGGTTTGTGAATTCTGCGGTTAATTTCTGTAATGTCATCGCAACTACGTCAGCTACAGTGCCGTTCGTTTGAAAGAAAACAGAAACTTGTTCTTTCTCTCCCAAAAATAAACTATGCGTTGCAGAAAGCTCAGTCTCCATCCAAATGTAGCACTAGCATTCTGGACCAGATATGGAAGTCTCAGAACTTGTTTAAGGGGGTACGGAAACAAAATGTTTGTACTTGCAGCGCCAGTTTGCAGTAGAATGACTCGCTCGAGAAGTTTCTTAGTCCTGAATGTTGCTTGGCGGAGAACGCTAACAAGTTTACTATGCTCCGTGTCATACTTAATATGCAATGCTGTCAAAGCTGCTGGTGCGAGCGTGGGGCTTGATCTCGATCCATTTGCACGCATTCTCACGCAAACAAAACAATTAGATGAAGTCACGAGTGTGCACCAGTAGCTTTGACAGCAATGCATATTAAGTATGAAATGGAGTATGCGTTGTACATGTCAAAACTTCCACAGTACTTCCACAACAAGCATTCCACAAGATCAAAATCGCCGTTTTTCGCAGTCAAACGATAGGTAGGAGCTTGATCCGAGAATGCGGGTACCTCTGCCAATCCAACCATACCACTCCTCCTCCCCCTCCCCTCCCCTCCCCTCTCCCCTCCCCCCCCCCCACCCACCCACCCGAGGATGTGCCATAACGCGCTCAAATATGGCACTCTGTGAATACCTTTACATAGCTTGCAGGTGTTGCCATTGCTGCATACTGACAGTTATTTCTACTTGCTGGTTCCCTGGAGCTACTAATTCTGCGGTGTGAAACTAACACGATGAACCGAACCCTCGTGGCATATAAAATACCGGCATGGCCGCAAATAATCTTACAGGCAAGCTATGTATAGGCCATGGGGCGTATGGTCCTCAGATATTACTACTGGGCGAGATGGTCGAGCTTTGACGCTACCAAGCAGCAACGCTCGCAACTACAGTAACCTTGGCCGTGCGGAAACTGTTGACATCACGACCGCGATATGCATTGCACTTCTCGCTGGTCGACTTCGAAGCGAGAAACAGAGAGCTCACGGTCACGTCATTTCGTTTCCGTACCCCTTTAATTCAAGATAAATTTTACGGAAATTTTCAGTGACGAATTGGTGGCTAATGGAGCCCGTGAATACGTGGAGGTGCATGGTAAAGGAAACTGCCCCATTTTCTTATTAAATATTTCGAAAATCGCTGACAATGTTCAACTCTGAGAAGGGATAGTTCTGAAACCTTGACGTCTGGTATGGCTTACTAGTGTTACATTCAGGCAAGGACTCGAGCATTTGGCAATGTATGGTTTATCTTTGCAGTGAGGAAACCACTACTCTCTTTTCTCCCAAACACCCGGTACTTCGCAGCATTGGAGAGCTTTACAGGCCATGTTTCGGTTTGGGAAGAACTGAAGTTTATTGGCATTCGTTCATACAACGCGCGTGAGAATGTACAGTCTTGAGTAGACACGAGCAGCGGAGAGGGCAATTGTTGCATAAGGCTTTCCCCTTTCCCTTTTCACACAGGGTCGGAGAGACTCAGCACTCGGTTTCGCTAGGAACGCAGACGAAATGGCAAGGACGAGTGGAACCTCTCGAAATAAATACTCCCCGGGTCGAGCGACCCGCACATAAAATCGCCACCAAAACCCAACGTTGTCCAACCTCGAAAAGTTCGCAATCGCAGACAAAAAGCGGAACTAGTGTTAGACGAGGGCATCTCCGACGGCAAACCGATTTAGAGAGAGCTCGTTCCGCTCGGTAAGTCTTCTGGCTCGGTTCGATCGCTCCCATAAATTAGAACCGACGACTTGCTGCGTAACGCGTAAAAAAAACTCTCCTATTGTCGCGGGCAAGGTGAGAATGGAGGGGAGGTATTTCAGTTATTTGGCCTCCGGGGCAAGCTTTTCATTTTAATTCGCCGTGCACTTGAGAACTTTAATTGTACCCTGCGGACGCACCATTTCCAAAAGCCTTGAAGCCCGACGAAGGCGCTTTCGGAAACGAGGGTCATCGTCCCTAGCAGCGCCGTAATGATTGCCACGCGGTTCGGCGTATTGGCGCGAGGGTTTGTTGGATGAACCGTACGTATCGACGAGCGTCGACCGCAACGAAATGCAATTCGGTCCAAACAAAAATTTGTATTCATTCTTCCCTGCCTCAATGTTGTTTGAGCCGTCGGAGGCGCTGGCGAGGTTATAGACTACGCGAGTCATCTAGCAGACAGTCTACTTACGCCGACATTAAAAGCGATGCTGAGGCTTACTGCGGCCATGTTCCAGTACCGTTCCAAAAAACCTTCGACACGACTTTGAATCTCGTCGAAGCCGCACACCGCCCAGTCCACAGTACCTTGCATGAGTTTGCAGTACCTCATGCGCTTCACTCACTCCAGTCTCAAGGTGCACGCGCCTCGAGACGGGGGTGAAGAATCTCGGGCGATAGTAGAGCACAAAACGCCTTGCAAAAATCTGAATCGAGCTTGGAACGGCATGGAAACCGGGACGTCGCAGTGCGCCTCTCTCTACGTGAAGCAGAAAGTCCTTCTAACCTACGAACTTGCCCGAAAGATTTTTACGGCTCCAGCAGCGTGCACTGCCACGCAAGGTGGAGACGCATCTTGGGCGAGAGATTCCGACAACGACGACGTCAAATCGTCTAAACGAATTTGCGTGCGCGCTGAGAAGAGCGAAGTGCTTGGAGGAGAATGTGGTAACCACTATCAAGCGTAGCCGTCTATCAGCAACAACCCGTCAACGAGTCTAATATAACAAAAAGGGAATTTGCCCTTTAAGAATTGGGTGTCAATACCACAGCTCAGCACTCTGCTTGCGTCTTTAAACGCTATGTGTGTGTGTGTGTGTGTGTGTGTGTGTGTATATATATATATGTATGTATGTCATCAATCGCCCTTCGTATCTAATTCGGCAAGCTCGTATATACACCCACGCGTGTAAAAACGCATTCCCGCCACGCATTTCGAAACGAGCTACAGCGTGGAGTCCAAAAGCACGAACATGACCGTCGTTAAGTTTACGTTAAAAAGAAGGTTACTTTAGACTCCTACCATAGACTGCACTCCAATAACAGAGTCTGCATTTTGTACAAGGGATAAACCAACGAACCAATCTAAGTGTTTTATGGTGACTGCGCACCTCCGGGAAAAAAAAAAACAACCCGGAAATGGTTTTGAGCGTTTCCACCTCGCCCCTCCACATATCTTAACGACAGCACGATGGGAGCAAACAACCCCCTACGCGGCAACGCTCGAGCTTGTCCTCCGCACCCCTTGAAATCGCGGTGTCGGAAGCAACGCCCAATCCTCCGCTCGTCGTTTTTTGTGTTTTCCCCCCTCTGTACACGCACACTTACTTGACACAGCCGCGCGTGTGCAAAGCCACAACGAAAGGACAACAGACAAACCAAAGCTTGTTCCAACGTGCAAGGCATTTCCTCCGCTTAGTGCGACGGAAACGAGCAGTTACAGCACGACTGTGGAGTGACCCAACGTTCCCCACCTACCCCTCCCCCGCAACAATAAATAAACACATGACTGCTGTACAGTTCAAAAAGACAGAGACGGGCCACGGATAGAGAAGACTCCCCAAAAGACGGAATGGACGTCCGCCACATAGAAAGAAAAAAAACACAGCCGAACACCTCTTCTTTTTTTTTTTTTTTTTTTCGTCCTTTCCTGGACCGGTTTGCTTGTGCCGGCCGACATTCGGCCGACGCTCGGCCGAAATGAGAAAGCTGTATAAAAACCTGCACCGCTGGAAGAAGAGATAGATGCTCCTCACCGAGTGAACGTCACAAACAAGAAGGTGCGAGGGAGAGACTACGAGCTCGGTGTCCGGTGCAGTTGACGCGGAAAAAAACCGGCGTCGACAGTACGGGGAACACAGTAAAAAGACGGTAACTAGGATGCAGTCCAAACTGTCCTTGGGTTCGGCAGGCCACGGACGCTTTTGCGGAAGAAAAAAAAAAAGAGCGTTGTGGCCAGATAAATAAATGCGCAGTGGAGAGAAATCTGCGTAGCTTGGAACATAAGCACGATTGACCACCAAGATTTGGGGAGCTAAATGACACCAAAAAGACGCTGCTGCTGTGCTAGAGGCGCAATCCAGTGTTGCGGAGACGGGCGCTACGTCGTGTACTACGGAATTCGGCATTGCCAAATCTCCCGTTTGCAAAAAGAGGAAAAAGCCAGCACCATTCTTAAAAGCCCCAAAGGCCAAGTGTTGCGCTCCTCAATTGAAGCCGCAGAACAGGAGAATCCCCCCACACCGAGAAATAAAGATCTGTGCACGGCAGTTAAACTGAAGGGCACATATCTGCACGTCCAGCATCTGTCTGAGAATTATAACCAACCACAGCTGAACTGACCCTTTTTGGTCAGGGATTTCGTTGCGTCTCCTGAAAAAACATGCCGACAAAAGCACCACCCTTCATTCGTCGGTCATGTCGACAAGTTTCTCAAAATATACACTAGACAGATGTGTGAAGCAAGCTAGTAATGTGCTCAAGCAAAGACGTGCAAAAAAAACCCCAAAACAACAATGGCTCTAAAAACTGAGACAAAGCTAGTGACAGCGATCGTACGACGTTGCAACGAGAGACGTCTCTTTGGTGTGCTCACGAAGTTTGTATTGTTCCATTTCGTCCACCCTTCACACACCTCTCGCGGATTAAAAAGGTGCTGCTATTCGGACACTTCAAGAAGTTTCACGAGCTGATGCCGAGAAGCTAGAACTAGTTTTACGCTTGATGCGTCGACAATGAAAATACGCAAAAACTCGCTCACACTTGGTGCGTCGAGAGGAGAAAGGCCGTTTGTTTTTCCCCCCTCCCCGAGAACGACGCAGGCCCGTGACCACGGTCGTACGCACCGACAGCGCAATGCCGTTTCCTCCGAATGAAACACATACTCGATCGAAACCTACGTTACGTCTACAAACCTACGAATGTGGGCCTAGATGTCTTTTGCCTCGGTCGTCGCGGACAGTTCTGCGGCGTCAATCCCTGGACGACGACGTTAATGGTGCTTCACCCGAGTGTTTGGCGGGTCAACCGGCCGGAAAACTCCGAGATGCTAGATGGACGCGGTCACCGTGCCTGGCGGAGTTCGGTAACAACAGTATGCACCCCAAACAAGTGACGCCACCACCCCCACTTCCTTTTCATCCCTTTTTAAAAGACGCTCCACGGCCGGTCGCCGCACGATCCGACGTGAAAATCCGTGGCCGGCGCTAGCCTAGACGTTGACTCGGCTGCCTGTCGGACGAGCGGATGCGAGCGACGTGCCGCGCACGCCGCAAGTGGCGAGGAAAAAGGAAGACAATGTTAGAATACTGCTCTTTCTCTCCCTTGTCCCAGGTGTGACGACGCTACTGACATAATGTAAACGTGTGCAGATCTCTCACTTCTGGGAAAACCCTGTGGCCACGCAAGACGCGCTTCCGCAAAATGTTGAGACGGACAAGGCGCAACGAAGGGACTAAGAAAGCAAGGTCACGGGGCTACGCTTTCCACGCCACCACGAGTCGCAACGTGGCGAAACTGACTGCCAGCTGGCTCCACATGCAACGTTTCAACACGTCGAACTGGAATATTTTAAAACATTCGGTCGGGAGTGCAAGCCCCGTGCAGCATTTGAGAAACAGTCGGAGCTGTGAGCGAAAACTGAAGTTCGAACAAGTCTACGGCATTTGCAAACATGTAAGCAACGTTTATCTGGCCGGGTGATTGTCGACAATAAACCAAAAGCACGCAAGGCTCCAACTCGCACTGGACGTGAATAGGGATTAATGGGGCTTGCTACAGAGCAAATCGGGACCTGTGTATATATGAGCTCTTGGTAAGTCTAAGTGCTCCCCGAAGCTACCGCGCGATGGCAGGCAGCACGGAATGCTGCCACCGGTTCAGCGAGATGCGTCGGCATAATATGGGGCACAACAAAGAAGAATGAGAACATTCTCACGAAAGACCACCAACAAAGCCACTACTTCACCACATAACGTCGCTCGACAAAAAAAAAGGGCATTTGGACAGGTTCAACAGCGAACAATGGTGCTTTTTGCAGGACACAAAGACCGTTACGCCACCACACTCTCCCGAGAATTTGAAAGTGCAGAAAGCGGCAAGATCTTCGAGGGACATTTCATCCCAGGCACGCAAGCCTCCACATACTTTTTTTCCGTTGCTCTATTTGCCCCAAAAACTGCATACCCTGCGGAGTTGGAAACACTCCCGCCCAGTTTAAACGCCTGCGCCCATCGGTGTGGCCACCGAACCTTTTACGCGGCATTGCACCGCAAAAAAAAACATTTGCTCTGCAAAACTGTTTGCTGCTTCCCGTCTAGCAAAAACGTTACGCTCACCTTAAGTTAACAGTTTTGCTCCCTGGCTTCCCCGAGCGCAACCTTGAAAGGACGTTCTGATGAAACCGTTTGTCAACAAACTCTCCGACGGCACTTTTAGCCGTTTGTCGGAAAGGAAACGACCGCCGTCATTGAATTTCATTTCCGCTTCGCCTTTTCATGACACGCTTTGCTGCTCGGTGCAATGTGCCGCACCGCAAGTGACAGTCGCCTACGGGAGAAGGCGCCATTGACTGCCGCACACCGAGCATCGACAGCATGTTGTAACAAGAGCAGACGACCAGTGTTGTGGTGGCAGGGTAAGTGAGAGGGGTGGGAAGGGGTGAAACACCAAGGGGGACAGAGAGAGAGAAAGAGAGACTGAGGACGCCTATCAGTGCGAGGACTGGGGGTCGCACTGGAGTAGCCGCACGATGGAGGGGTCGCTCTTGGCGCCCTCTATGAACTCTTCCAGCGAGAGCTTGCCGTCCATGTTCTTGTCCATCTGGCGGAAAATCTTGTCCGTCCGCTTCTCAGGCGTCGACTCGTCCTCCGGCATCTTCATCACCGACCCCACCATTTTGTAGATGGCCTGTACGGAACGGGACAAGACAAGGTAAGCCAGGGGTGTAAGTCATTGAAGTTTTGGCAGTTTAATACTTTAGCCCAATGTTCCAGAGGAAAAAAACCAGCCATTGGATGGCTCAGAAAATCAGCTTTTCGTGCAAGGCTCGTCAAAATATTAGGCACTGGAGAAATCAGCTGTCTGCAAGTCCCTATTTTGAACTCTTTGTTCATGTTCTGCCCATTGAGAAGCACGGCGAAAGAGTCCAAGTAAGCACCTGATCTCGCCACACCACCGTCCTCTACAGCATGATAAAGTCAGACTGCTTTTTGCACAGGGGTTGCAATGATGTCGGAATGCCGAGCTCTTATTGACCGATTGAAAAAAATAGTAAGTAGACTTCAAGGCAACCAAATTGCCAATTACAACTCGGCGTCATTATTGTTATATTGAGCGGCTCAGCCCGTATTTAGAGGGAGTCTACTCCAGTTGGCTGCTGAGTATAAACTGCTTTATTCCCACGATATCTGTGCATGGCCAAGCCTGCTCACGTCATAGGCGGCTTGAGTCATCCGACCTCCAAATGCTGAGGTGGCGGGACGGCGGTATTACGTGACCACCCGAGCGGCGCCGTAGGAGTTCCACAAAGCAGCGACAGGTTGTGTGTATTATACACAGCGTCCTTTCCTTCTCAGATTGAATCACCATAGTGCTCGAGGAGACGCCGTTTGCGCTGGGGTCTTGGCACTGTAGTGGAAACTGGAGCCGACTTGCTCCCCCACTGGTCGGAGGGTCGGATCGAGCGCCAACTCCATCTTGGGGCTCGGGCGCGGGAGGTCGATTGTGTTCGGACGATGCTGGGGAGTCCGGCTGTAGAAACATATGGAGCCGGAACATGACTCGTCACCGGTTCCCTGCTGGAACTGTGCGATGATGAGTTCGCTGTCAGATTCTTTTGCACACCGGGTTTTATGTGATCCAGGTGATGACGAACCGTTCCATTCTCGCACTTTACCAGCCAAGACAGGTGTCCTAGTCTCTTCGTGGCCATTTTTTTTCATACAAGTAGGGTTTCCTACGAAGTTATGGACGAAGACTGAATGTCCTACAATAACTTCTCTCGGTGATCTTTCTCTGCGGCATTTAAATGGTGGTTCTTCTGGCCAGTCTTGGGTAGTAATGCGTTACTAGTAATGCGTTACTAGTAACGAGTTACTATAACTTTGTTGCTTTTTTGGTAACCTGTAACTGTAATGAGTTACTTTTTAAAAATGTAACTTGTAACTGTAGTTCAATTACTTTTTCTCAGGTAACGATCAAAGTAACGACATTACTTTTGTAGTTACTCTCCAGTTTTTTATGAATAATTTATCATTGAACGAGTACAATCTAGCGATTCCTTGCACTTTCCAAATTGTCTGTTCCGACATTCGGGGTGTCAAGTTGGCCTTGCACAAACTTGTGAATACATTCTTTCTCGCAAGTCTTGACTCGTAATAGCCACGTGTAGATTTGATGAAAAAAAAATCTAGTTATCTTTAAAACGGGCTGAGCTTTGCGACTGAACACATATCTTAGTATCCTGAAGCACTATGTATGTCGCGGTATTTCTTTTTTTTCTGCGCAAACACTTTTCAATCGGGTGAATCAGCCGTGAAACAATACACGTGGAGGGTACTGCGCATGTTTCGTATTTTGATTTGTGCCACTGTTCCGGCGTGGTGTCAACGGTCAAGGCAAAATTTACTGCTGTTTGTGCGGGGTTTGTTTCTGGCTTGCCGGGTACGAACCAAAACATTTCCAGGTGTGAAGACTCTGGTTAGGAGCTGCACACACACCGTCGTCGGGGTCCGACGTCGAGGAGATACAGTACCCAGCACAAGTTCTGGCCCGTGTGGTTTTATCTAAACTCGACTTGAGTGCGCGACACAGACAACTACAGAACACTTTCCTCGTCCGCGGGCTCGCGATGGCTAACCGGCCTTTTTTCCGCCCCTCTTCTTCCTTTTCTTTCTCCGCTGGCCGCGAGGCGAGGATTCTTCGTAATTTGGCGGAAACGCCACGGTGGGACACAGACACACACACACGTGGCTACACGCACAGCACCGAATGAGCCGGGAATACATTCCGTCACATTGGGACTCTATGAACCCAGCGCAACCGTCAACGAGCCAGCAATGTGCTAGTGCTACCAAGGATAGGGATGTTTATGAGAACAAGGAGCTACCATGGCCGGCATACAGAGAGTATTTTGCTGTGGTGAAGGTGGTTGCTAACAAGAGCGAAAAAAGCATATTTTTTAATTTTATGCAATAAAGCTCAGTGAGGGGCGTTTTCTAGTTTTTCCTAATTTTTGCTGTCGTAGAAAAGGAACTGAGAAGTAACATAGTTACTTTTTAAAAGTAACTGTAACTCTCACGAGTTATTCGGGTTTTGCGGTAACTGTAACGGTAACTTCGCTACTTTTTTCTGAAAGTAACTGTAACTGTAAAGAATTACTTCTTAAAGTAACTTACTTCCGGCAAGCAGGGCTATAGGCGTGTGAGCACCGTAGAAAGTTTGCAGCCGAACATGAGTTCAGCTGGTGTTTCCCAGTTGTTGTACACATGGTTGTGTGCTGTTTAGGAAAGAACCTTGCAAGTCTGCACAAGAGTGTCGCTGCTACGCTTTGGCTTTTTGCCAATACCTGGTTCGTCTCGAGGGCCATTCTTTCAGCTCGTCCATTTGAAGCGGGATGGTAACGTTGTTATACGAGTCACACCATTTTTCTTTAAACAGTCTTCCACCTCGGACGAAACAAAGGACACTCCACTGTCCGTCACCATCCTTTCAAAGGCTCCAAACGTTGCAAAGAGTTCCCGTAATTCCTCAACCAGTGTGACTGACAATGTTGCTCGTGCAGCATACTTCTAGCCACTCGCTGTATACGTCAACAACAATCAGCAGCATCTTCCCCTCCATGGGGCCAGTGAAGTCTGCATAAATGGTCCGCCAAGGTGACATTGTGGACGTCCATTCAGGAATTGGTGCCTTGGGTGGTTGGTGCCTTCTGGTGTCGCTGATAAGTTTCGCAGCTTCTTGACAGCCTTTCAATGTCGCTATCAACATCTGGCCACCAAAAGTAACCTCATGCGCATCCCTTCACAGCTACTACTCCTCTATGACCTGCAAGTGCCAAGTCGAGCACATCTTTCCTCGCCTTTGTGGAATGACCACTCTGGAATTTCTCAGAAGGCAACCTCGTTGCACTGCAAGTTTTGTGCCGAGTCTGCAGTACGGTGAACACTGTTGCTTTTGCAGTTTATACAGTTCTCCACTTGAAATAGCTGTGAGCACTTAGGACAATAAGGAATTCTGTCGGGTCATTTCAGAGAGTTAACGTGGCGACAGTTTGAAACTCGGCGGTGATGCCAACATAAACACACCTGCCAGAGGAGAGGGCTCGTTGACTTGTGCCGGAAGCGGCAGCCTGCTGAGTGCATCAGCGTTTTGATGGTGTTGTCCAGGTTTGTTGAATAAATTGTAGTCGTAAGTGGCAAGCTTGAGACACCATTGTGTCATCCTGGGTGACAGGACTTGAGGCACCTGCTTCTTTTCTCCCAAGATGCTAAGCAGAGGTTGGTGATCTATTAAAACGGTCATGTATCTCCCCACGATGTACTAGCAAAAATGACTGATACCGTAAATTACTGCCAAGCCTTTCTTGTCAAGCTGCGAGCAATTCTTTTCAATGGCTGCCAGTGTTTGCGATGCGAAAGCTATAGGGGCCTCTCTGCAAAGTTCATTTTTCTGGGCAAGCATGGCACCGACAACATACCGTGATGCATCGACCGACAAGAGAAGAGGCTTCGTCTCATTGTAATGGGCAAGTACAGTGCAGGAGCGAATCAAGCCCTTCAGTGCATAAAACACAGTCTGGTGCTCCCTTTCCCACTTCCAGGCCGTATATTTCTCCAGGAGCTTGCACAGCTCGGCGGCAACTGTCGCTCAGTTTTACAAAAAAAAAACAATCATAGAATGCGAGAAGACCCAAAAAAGTTTGAAGCGATGTCTTTACGGTTGCTTGCACTTTCTCCTCAGTGGTGTGCACTCCTTTGGCATCAATTCTGTACCCCAGAAACTCAACTGACTCAATGCCAAATCTGCACCTCTTTTACTTGAGGCTTAGTCCTGCCTCGCTTAGCCTCGATAAAACATGGTCCAGGCGTCCCGCATGCTTCAAGGGCAACTCTGGTCCTAGTTTCGATTTTGGGATTACGACTCTTTTTAGCCAGGGTGTCTACCAAATAGTTTTTTTTAAATTCCCTGACTTTTCCAGGTTTTCCCTGACTATTTTAATTGAATTCCCTGACTCACAACTACCGACACCAAAACAATATATGATAGATAGACACTATTCACAACATAAAATATTTTCTTTAAGTTAGATAAAGCAAACTTTAGAAGATGTTTAGAATACAGCATTGACCCGGGTTTACTGTTTCAGGGAGTTTGGTCCCAGCACCTGATCAGTACATCAATTTGTTCTCCGAGTTACTTTGTTCAGTGACTCATCAAAAGCAACCACCAGATATGGCACGTTAGAGAGGCTTGCTAGTAACTTGTCTTCAAAGTAGGGGGCGATACCACGACATATTGTATTTCCCACTTTGTCTTTTCCAAGCTGAATTTTTCTGGCGGTCTCACACATGGGGAACATCGACGGAAACAGCGAGGCAGACGCTGCCGCTGAACAGAAAGACCCATGAGTTGTTATAGTGTTCAAGCACCACATGATCCCCGGCCTTTGTAACTTCCTTCTTCAATAAAAAGCCACCACCCACGTCTTCACAGAGGGGCTAAGAGCTTCCGTGGCGGTGGTTAGACGCATTGCCGGAGCCCTACAAGCACTATTGTTACCACCGGACAAAAAACACCCGTTGCTGTCGCGGAAGGCAAGTCCGCATTTGTCGCAGTTTTGAAAAATATGACTGGGCTCTGGGAAACGCTTTGCAGATATTTCATAGCAGTGAGATGTTTCTTACCCTCAAGATGAGTAGCAATCGCCCTATTCCCCATGTCGCTCAGGGAGAACTTCTTGCAGCACATTGCGCAGTGAGCACTATTTGGATCATTTGGAATGGGCCGAATCCAACTCGCATTCGTGCATATGTCCGGGTTTGTCCAGTTGAGATTGAAGGAGCACTTTCTCGACAGCGACATAGTCACTTTCACATACCTCCACTTTAGGAAAATAACAAGATAGAAAGCGCAACCCACAGCCACAAACGCACGTGGCAGAGCTCGTAGAGTACAGGCGTCCAGGTTGCGTTTACGGGGAGGCGCGAAAGCACCACATCTGACAAACGAATAGATTGCTAGGTGCGCGCCTCTCAAAGGGCAGATGAATGAACGACAGTTGTTCTTTTTCGAGTGAGTAGTGACTCGCGCCACCTAGTATTGGCTAGAGCAACTGTCTCTCCTCGTACTAGAGCAACACCACTTGACTAGAGTCACGAACTAAACAAAATTGCCGCTGCTACTCTGCTTCACTAGTAACTGTGAGTAACTCTTTAGCCGCCATAATTTAGCGTTGCTACCCTAAAGTGTAGCTTATTTAGTGGCTTTAGAGTGTACTAAAACAACGACGAGTCGCCAGTTTCGCACATGCTCTCGTGTGAAGCATAGCGCGTGGAGGGGGTCGCGACGCCGCACTTGACTGCGCTCGTGGCTATGTTTGCCCGTGCCTGCCGCTTCTAGCGTAAGCGGGCGAGCATGGGATAAATTCCCTGACTCGGCAATCTTTTTGGAAATTTCCCTGACAATTCCCTGATTTTTCCAGGTGTCTTAAAATTCCCTGACAATTTCCGGTTTTCCCGGTTTTCCCGGTCGGTAGACACCCTGTTAGTGCAGTCAGCGTCCCCGAGTTACAGAGTGTAATTTTCTTCTCGTCATTGTGCACAGTTTTAAAGATATCGATGCCTCAAAAGTTTTGTTTGGGGCGCGGTCGACAAAACTAACTAGCCGCTCGAGGCCCCGGCAACACTGGAAATCTGCCGCTCGGCAAACGTGACGTCATGGTTGTTCTCGTTCAACGAGTGTGCGGTCCAAGCAACACCTACCTCTGTTGCGCTAGCCGTTTAAAGATAAAAGGTATGCTGCTTTCATTTGAATTCTGTATATGTGATAGATATCCAGCGTATGTAGCAAAGGTTAATGCGTATACTCAGAAGCTAGCGACTGCAAGGCGAGTGAACATGCTCGGTGCCAGTGTAAGACGCCAATCTCACTACTCCTCCGCTTTGACTACGGTAGTGGAGTAACTTTCTGCGGCAAAATACCCCGAATGTTTGTAGTTTGTTTGAGCGGTGGATCCCAAGGAAGCGGTAGCCGCTCCTTTGGGGAAACCAGGTGCTGTCTGGCTAGGCTTTTCGCGTGGTTTCATGGCTGGGAGGCGGCTTCACTTGGAGAAAGGAGTTTGGGTGCCCTTTCGCACGGCTTCAAAGCTGATGACGTCGGCTCACTCCATGGGACAGTAAATGCCTTCGCATTAATAAGGACTTAACGCAAACGGCAGATTTTCTCCAGCACCCAATATCTTGACGAGCCTTACACGACACGTTTTTAGCTTGCAATTTGGACGAAGTTTCTTTTACGGCAACATGGGTCTAAAATACCGATGTGCCAAGGTTTCTACTATGGTGCCCGGAAAGATACGCCGACGAGCACGTCTACCCAGTCTTCAAATGTGGTCTTTTGATTTCCAACCAGAATGCAGTTGCTACATTCGATTCGGCTACACCTCCTGCACCAGCTGCACCGGGCACACACTGTCGTATTCAATTTAAAAGCGCAGCCTACCTTAAAACACATACCGGAAGCACACAGCCCTGCACTTTTCTGCACTGCCCTGACCTCCTCTACACCGGCGTAGGCTCGTGCGGACAAATCAAACGTAAAAATCGAACGTAGCAACTGGTACACTGGTGTTCCAGCTTGTCCCCAGGGAAAAGCACCCAAGGATATTTCCCCGGTCAACATCCCCGGGGATTTTTTTTAGGGGGACGTGCGTCCAGGGATTTCACTCACCGTGACTATCTCGAGCATCTCCTGGCGCGAGATGTAGCCGTTGCCATCCAGGTCGTACATGCTGAAGGCCCACTTGAGCTTCTGCTCCAGCTTGCCACGCGACGTCACGCTCAGGGCACACAGGAACTCCCGGAAGTCGATGGTGCCGTCCCCGTTAGCGTCGAAGGTGCGGAACACGTGCTCGGCAAACTTGGATGCGTCCCCGTACGGGAAGAAGTTGCCGTAGATCTTCTTGAACTCCTCAATGGAGAGATGCCCGCTGGGGCAGTCCTTCAGGAAGCCCTTGTACCACTCCTGGATCTCCGCGTCCGAGAACTCCGTGTTTTGCCGGAGGTCCTCCAGCACCTCGGGCTTCAGCTTGCTGTTCTGCTTGCCCATGCTGCCTGCACGCTCACACTCGCCGCAGTCGCCCCTCTTGCTTCAGTGGCCGTCGGGTGCTGCGGGGCAGTGGCACTCTCGTCAACCGGGTGCCTTTGGTCGGCGACAAGGACGAGCAAAGTAACGCTCAGTCTCACTACCTGACATACTATTGCGGACAATATGAGCTGAGACAGTCCTTCCTGCTTCGCTGGCATACCTGCCAGTATCCGAGAGATCTCTGGTCCAAACTAGGGATGAAATGAGAAGCTGGGGTTCCATACTTTGGACTTTTTGTCAAACTGAGGGAAAATAGAGGTTAGGGAGATTGCAGACGAATAAAAAGGCCAGATCAGGTGTTTGAGCTCATACTGTCCTGTCTTTATTTTTCTCCTAAAATCTCAGGCCCCTTGTCAAAACTACTACGGCGATGGAAAGTGTTTGCGTAGTGCACTAACCTCAGAAATAAAGCTTAGTGCCTAACAATACCCTTTCGAAATAAAATTGACATATATCACCTATATTGTGTTCACGCCAACAGTGTAGCATAAACCACCTGCGTCTCAGTGCATCTTTCACACCACAAAAACGAGCTATGCACGGAATGAAAGCTTAGATTTTACTCAATCATGACTAGTGGTTCAGCTAAGATTTCATAGGTACAAAACACAACATTCTCTAATTTGAGAGTTTAAAGCAATTTTTTTATATTTTCAATAAATACGCCTTCATTTTTGGCAGCAGACACCAATTGCCCCCCCATGCATTCGTAAGCTCTGCTAGCTGCCATTTTCCCATTTAAAATTTCTAAAAATGGCTCCCAACATTTGAACTAGACAACACAGCGTTCTAAAAACTTTTGCACCTTATCCACTTGTTGGAGCTACGATTGGGGCGGCGTCCCGAGGTTTTCGTCGACACACAGTTTATTTCTACGGCAAGTAAACCAAGGTTTCCTCCTCTCGGTTAACACCCCATATTTTGAATTGGTACACTAAACAATTCCCATTACATTTTTCGTGAATCGGAAGTTTTCCACAACTTCAGAATCATGCTGTAAACATTGTTGGAAATGCCTCAGGCTAGAGACAAACTAGTTAAACATTAATTATTCTGTCAACCTGAATTACACATTCATTTTCCTCGAAGATGTAACTAAACACAAGAAAACATAAAAAAAGCTCAGACCAGTCGTTGCATCGTAAAAGGATCTTTCGGCCACCAAGTGCGCGTCGCTCGTGTGAGCAGCGCGTGCAATTGCAAGCTTGCCAGGTATATTTCTCTGCACCGACACCAGCCGTGACCTCTTTTTCGGACCTTCTTGAAAATAGCAAGAGTGCTCCTGCATAGTTTTGATAGGCACTGAAGATGTGCGAGAGCTGAAATTTCGAAAACTCCTTTTATGACGTAACACTCCGGGAAGAAGTGGCTTCAGCGGTACTTAGAAAATTATTTTCTGCAGGCTCCGTGCACCAAATTGAAAAATAATCTTAGTATTCACGATCCTGAAGGCCAAATGAAGGCAATTTAAGTGTTTTTACTCAAATACAGAACCGCTTCAGCTTCCCTTTAGGTGCATGCAGGAGAGAAGAAAAAAAAAATAGTACATGTTGATTAAATACAGGTCTTTCATACTCACCAAATAGCACAAGTGAAAGCAGTACATAAAATTTAATTGAGCATAATCCTTGGCTATAGCGGATTTTGAGCGTCATTTACGTTTCAACTTTTAGGTCTCAACTCCTTTTTTGGCAGCTTGTTGGAACAAAGGTGACGCTTGCGATAGCTTCTAATGCCCTGCTGCTAAAAATCAAGGCCACAATTGATGTTTAGACTTTCCACAAACCGTTGCTGCTTAGGTCGACTGGGAAAAAGAACCAGATCAAGAGAATTTGCTAGAAGGCGTGGTTCCCAACTTTCCATGCAGGTGCCCCTTTTGTCAATTGTTCAAGGTGAAGGGGAACACCCACCACATCAGGCAACAGGGGAGGAGGCAGGCAGGAATGTCAGTATCACTGAGCAGTACGACAGAGAGGAAAACATTGGGGAAACGGCACACTTCCACTGAAGCCCCTTCATAGTCTTCGCCAGTACAACCAATTCAGGACCTGGTCATACCTATCATACCTCATTCAAGCAATTTCAGTACTTGCTGTATGCGGGTAGGGAGAAAGCGTGCGTATGAGTAGATTCTCGAAAGCTTCCAAAATTCTCAACCAAAATAACCTTCCAAAGTTTTCATTATAGGACGAAAAAAAGCTTATTTTTAGACTGTGTGGTTTTTAATTTCTAAAAGTTTCCTTGAGAGATGAAGGTTGCAGACGGCGACTGTTTTTATTTCTAAGCAAAGCTCCACGTTTCAAAGCCACTTGAAAAGACGAGACAACGAAAGCTCTTGAGGTTTGATTCAATTTTATTTCAAAAACCACTGAGGCAACTGAAATCTGGGCCAAGCACACAGAGCATGTAACAATGACCAACCCTCGGACACAATGTGGAAGAAGCAAGTATTCCTGCGCACGACCTGAAACATGGCGGAGGCACGATGAAAATAAATATCTGTGCTGTAACTTGGTTCCCAAACAGGGGAACCGAAAACCCTCAAGCAACCGCAAGTTGGTCCTGGTCCCACAATGTGAAAATACAAGAAACTTTCCTCAACAATGGTAGTTCCAGCCAGTTTCTGTACGAAAGTAAACTACATTGTATAGAATTAAAACACTAGGCTTTTTTGGCTTTCATTCAAAAGGCATTACCAAAGAACGGCACAACCAAAACATTTACAATGTGGTTACTGACTACTTCTGGACAGACTAATAACTAACAATATCTGACAATGAAGTCAACATCTTTGTGACACTCAACAAAACAAGGGACGAAACCTGCTGCCCATTCAGGTTGGTCTCCCTTGCTTCTTAATGCACCCTATTCAAATCCCAACACTTCTTTCAGCGACCCAGTCGTCAAATCCCTCCCAGATATAACGAACGATACCTAAGCGAAGCCCAAAAATCTTTCCGATCTCTCCAAAACCACCACTTATTTCCTTTCTTTCCTCAATTACCTACCCCCCAAAAACCTCGACTTTCCACAACACTTAAAAAACTTCCTTTTTGCACTTCGAAGAGACTGAATTTTACGACCAATGGTCCACTGACAGCAACGCAGTCAAATCTCGAGAGTAAGTGGGTAAAGTCAACCCCTCCCAGTCAACAAGGCCGGAGGGCTGAATTCTCTACATTGCCTCAAGAGGCAAACGCGGTACACGGATTGAAAGCAAATGCTGCGCCAACTTTTAACTGAATCTCGTGTCCTCGCTAATTCAAAACTGGTCTCAGCCAAACGCAGAAATCGTGAAAAATCCACCTGCTTTTTTTTTTTAGAAAATTCAGCCCTCTGGCCTTGTCATCTAGCTGTTGCTAAGGTCCAACAGGAAAGAGGAAACCAAACCAGGAAAGCGCGACACTATCTCTGAAGGGTAGTGTTGGACGTGAGTAGCCCTGCCAGCTTGCGATCCTGGAGGCAGCCGTCCAAGAACTCCTTGAGGGTCAGCTTGCCGTCTCCATCGGTGTCCATCTTGGAGAACACCGCCTGCGTCCGCTGTTCCGGTGTGTCGTCGTCAGAGGCCGCTCCGGGACCCAACATCTCGTACAGAGCCTGCGCACACCCCACCACGATGGTTAAAACCTTTTATGGTCCTTTATGACACCCTTGATGGTGTTTTCTGACACCCTTAAAGGTGTTTCAAGACACCCCATGCTATTTCAAGGCACCCCTGGGGTGGTTTGCTAGTGAATGCTGGTATCACTCCCTTGGCTAAAATCCCCTCAAGAAAGATTTTTTGGTCACATGACCAGTTTCATGGGGTCAAAGCAGGCACGTAGCCAGCGAACTACGTGGCTGCTTTGCCCCCCCCCCCTGAAATCTTCCATTTTGCCGAAAACTCCTCTCCCCCCCTCCCCTCATACAGCATTTTGTCATGGAGGACGCCCCTCCAAATCAAAATCCTGGCTACGTGCCTGGGTCAAAGTACCTATAAAAAACAATAAAAAAAAAAAAAAATGCTAGTATTTTCTGCTACGTTGTTAAAGCTAGCGCCGCTTCCGAGGTGCTGGAGCTTAGCACTCCTGCGAGGGCACGTAACTTCATGTAGCGTCTCAATCGCACGCGCTCTCAGGCGAAGAAGACTGCAGATGCGCTTGTGCATATAGCTTTGACAGCGTTGGAGTATATGGATGCCACGAGAGCCTTGACTGCTTAGCACAAAATAGTTGGCGTCGATGCCTGGTCAGCTGCTCACGAATCTAAAAGGAACTTGTCCCACTATTCTTAGCCTGCAACAGACTATAGCCACTAATTTTAGCAGACGACGGTATGACTATGTCTGATCGGCTCCTTATGAATCAGAGAGAAGCTTGTCTCGCTGTTTTTGACCTGCAACGTGCCTGAGCCCACTATTGGGAAGGAGGACAGACCGTGACGCCCCAAGCGGTTAACTTTAGAACTACACGGATGGGGACAACAAATACAATGACTCGGCACTCGGCCGATATAACCGAACGCGGCGTCAGCGTTCGGCTGGAGTTCGTGTTCTCCGGTGAGGGGGAGGAGGGGCTCTTTTGTTTCCACTACGGCCTGCATGAACAATGCAGCATGCACGGTCCCAGCTCAGCACAAAAGCCGAAGTTGGTCAAGCTCGCATTCTCCGAGGATAGATCCGGCACTTAACGTCACTTCGTCGATTGTTAGTATTTTTTACATTAAACTGTGCCCCGCGCTCTATTGTAGGAGATGACATGAACATTCCCATAAGGCCTGTCAGCATGTGCACAGGCCTTGTGTTGAGTAAACACCGAGCGTGGGGAAAACAAACGGGTCAGAGCGCCCCCTATAGTTCGATCTCCTGCCCAATACTCAACCGACGACGACACACTACAACCGTCCACGAAATCCGGGCTGCACCCACCTGCACGATCTTGACCATCTCGTTGCGGTCTATCTTGCCATCGCCGTTGATGTCGTACATGCGGAAGGCCCACTTGAGCCGCTCCTCCGAGCTCTGGCTGCCCGTCACGCCGATGGCCAGCAGGAACTCCTTGAAGTCGATGTGGCCATTGTTGTCGGCGTCAAACGTGCGGAACACGTGGTCGCAGAACTTCTCCGGGTTGCCCGTCGTGAAGAACATGCTGTAGATCTCCAGGAACTTGGAACGGGACAGCCGGCCGCTCGGACAGTCTTGCTACGCCCGGGCAGAAGGGGGGGGGACAACCAATGTCACTCGACCCCAACAGAATGTGGAAGCAGTATGTGTGCGTCAATGACTCGTTGCCTGCCGCAATGCTTTCGTTGCACATGCACGCTCAAAGCTCCCCAGACGTCAACGTGTTATCGAGAGTGGGAAGCTTGCAATAGAGGCGGGACAATTCAGAAACCTTGTTTTCATCCTGTCTGCAACTAGAACGGATTTTGCCGCACTACTTTAACCCAGGGGTGTTCAGACATTTTGGTTAAGGGGCCGGACAATGAAGCTGTTGCTGTCTCGAGAGCCGGAAAATAAACAAGGAAATACTTATGAAGAAATACTAAACAAATAAACGTAAACTAGCATTTAAACTAGAGCAAACATAAAAATAAATCCTGCATAAAAAATACATTATTTTTAAATTCAATACGTTGCTAATTATGACAATACAAACTAAATGTAACCTGGAAAACTAGATGGTATAAATCAAAGCATATAGGAACTTCAACATATTCACACAGGCCGAAGACCATAGATAATGGTACATCTGATGATGAGAACATGCAAGTGCTATGACACAGTGAACCAAGCAAAACATACATAAAAATGCAAGGGAATTTCAATGTGGTTACAAAGACACAAAACAAGGGACTATAAATATTAGTACTGGTATTACCAGTGTACAATAAATAATACGGTGAGAACACCCGCATTTTGATAAAGTTTCTTCACATTCTTTCCAATAACTTCATTTGTGCTTTTGATGTGTGTTGTAGCACCTTTTTTTATGTTACGTGCTTCTTATTTTTTCGCCTGTAGCACCGAACCCCGGGGCCGGGCGCCATCTGAAATATTGCAGCCATCCATGGACCAGATGTGGCCCACGGGCTAGGGTTTGGAGACCCCTGCTTTAATCCAACGAAGTGTAAGGTAGCATGTACGCATTATTGAATCATTCGTACTAAACCCCCACCCGTTTTCATCTTTGCGTGCAACTAGCATGGACACTTACTCAGGCCAAAATTATTTGGTTAAACTAAAAAATGTTTTGTCATCCAGTATCAGATAAGCGAGATATGACTGCATAATGTTCCCTTGACCTGCGTAAGGCATGCGTGGGGAACTTTCTAAAACCAAGCGTAAGCTGCCACTACAGAGAAAATTGTAATGTTGTGTACAATAATATCCACTGTGGCTTTGTTACAGACACTCCACATTCTTAACCTGCAACAGGCTGGAGAAGTCCACGTTACAATTACAGTCACGGACACTTCATTTTTTTCGTTAAAGTTTAAGGTTGTGAATTTTGAAGTATTCAATCCACACGGAGATCAAAGTTCAACTGTTTCAAACATATTTTTGTTTCATTTATACTTTCTATTTTAAATATTTGAACATGTCTTTACGTACAACGCCTTTCGTTAATTCTGATGGCTCAAGGCAAAGCCATCGCTACCGCTGGATTGCTAGCTGGCTTGGTCGTTGCCAGGCTAAAGTAAGGTCAGATAAGCATGTCTTTAATAGTTCGAAGTTCACTAGACTTTCTGAACTTAACGAATTCTAAAGTTAAAAAAATTGTTGGATTTCTCAATGTGATTAATCCGAAAAATTTAAAACCTCTCAAATTCCTTGGTTCACTGCTCATGACTCAGATCTATATAGCATGATGTGAACAGCACAACGAGACACATGCCCTTTAGCTCTGCTACCAGCAAACACCACATACAAAACAAAGCTCCACCGATTTTTCGCACCATTAGTACAGAATTCCAACATTACAGCAAACTTTTAAAAATATTCCCCTTAGCTTCTGAAAGCAAGGAAGAAATACTCCACAATCCCAAGTTTTATCAGCCAGTACTGGACATGCTAGATGCTAGACACTCAACTGCACACTTTATATCACAAAAGCCTGCACTCAAATTAAAAAAAAAAAAAAAAAAAAAGCCAAAAAAACTTAAAAAGACAAGCCACCTTCCCAGAAAGCAAACTGGTCGGAAAGAATTTTTCGTGTGCAACCCAAAAAGCCTAGAATTGCTGAACTTGAATTCTCATTGTGGTTAGCACACACTAGGCTAAAGAAACAACATCACAAATGTCAAGACATGTGAAACGTTTACTTCAAGCACTCAAAAAAAAAACCAAAACTGCAATCCTTGTCACAAATCGTCCCAGCCCACATTACACTTCAAAGGTTGGGCTACCTTCGTGAGTGTTTGAAACAACAAAAGGAACAGAAAAAAAAAAAAAAAAAAAAGGGGGGGGGGGGGGGTGGCATGTGCTTCGGGACTTTGTGGCGGACAAATGACATTCAGCGCTGCACCCACCTTAAAGCCGGCATACCAATCACGGATGGTGGCATCGTCATAGTCTGTGTTTCGTTTGAGGAACTCAAGGTCTTCGCTGGTCAACTCCACTGCCTTTGTGCTAGAGCAGCCCATGGCTTACACATGGGACGTCTACGCCCTGAAAACGAAGACCAAAGAACTCGTTACGACAAGCTTTCAACAAGCTGTATTCAACGGCAACCATCACACTCAGAGTCAAGACAGTGTATCGCTTGTTGAAGCAAGACTGCCCCAAACACTCAGCTCTTCCGCTGTGTGAGTGCATCCACAGACAGGATAAACTAAAACGTATCAACACTTCGCACCAGCTCATATTCCCTTAAAGATATTGTTTTGTTTGTCCGAAAGATATTTTATGTGCGTCCCAAACTCAAGTGTGCACGTCGGTGCCCAGCAACACTAATGTTAGCAATTACCCATGTTAAAAATTCTATCTGCTTTCGTGTACAACCACACAAGTATGGTAAGCCACCCTCCAAAAATAACCACAGTTTGCAGTCATACCTCTCGTTTTATCTAGAAGCCGACAGTATCGTAACACTAAAAAATAATTTAAAAAAAAGAAGGAAATGCAATTGAAATGTGCACAAAAGTACAGTTACTGGTTCAATCCCCCTTACTGCTATATACCTAAACAAAACACTAAGTAAAAAACAAAAACAAATATGAACTCAGTCTCGCATGTTGCCTTCTAGTGGTTTCCAATCAACCTGTTTGTTGATCCCAGGAGTATGATGCAACCAGTCAGTCAAGCTATACATAGCCCACAGCCACGCAAAAACCCCCAGATGCACCCCTTCCTCTCATCACTTCAACAGTACGACGTTGACACGAGCCGCATCAACACCTTCCAAAGTACACAATATGAACAATGTGTCGTGCTTGCAGCTGCATTTCATTACCTCCAATGTGTCTCAGAACAATGCCTCCTCCCTCCCCCAGTCCTGTACGTGCTAATCAAAAAGAATCTGATTAGACCGCTTGATTAATTCACGCCTAAGGCCACCATTTTTCCTTTTTTGCCCCAATTGCAGTTTACTACAGTACTTTGCCACTTGCCTTCTCAAAAGTGCACCAGCCAGAGCAAATGCCCTACATTTCTGATAGTTTTTTTCAAGGTTATGTGCAGGGGGATCAGTGGCAGAATGCATTAACTGCAGCCCTGAATGCATGAAGCGAAAGCTTGCACTGCAGGACCAGGGGATCCTGGCTTCAATCCCCACCCCTGCCCGTTTCGATCTGGAGGAGCATTGCACCGAGTTGGAGTCGTCTGTCACTACCGTGTGATGCATGTTAAAGACCCCAGGCTAGCAGTGGTACCACACTGGCGAAATTTCTCGTCTTCAGTCGAGACACGAGACGTCAATGGGGTCGACTTGGCTGTCTAAACATAAAACACAATTTTTCGGTTCTGTGCCACGACTTGGCTGTCTAAACATAAAACATAATTTTTCGGTTCTGTGCCACGACTTGGCTGTCTAAACATAAAACATAATTTTTCGGTTCTGTGCCACCAGAATGACTAAACTCGCAAATGAAGTCCCTCACGAAAGTCCCACCAAGAAAAACACTGAAAAAAGTTGCTCCATAAATGATTGCAGCAGCCTACAATTAGGGTTCCGTGTTTATTTAACAAACCGACAAGTTTTTCTTAAAAAACGCTCACCGATATATATTTGTCACTTCAAATTTAGCTAAAAAGCCGTAATATTCCAAACAAAATTACAAAAAAAGTATATATATATATATATATATATATATATATATATATATATATATATATATATATATATATATATATACACACAAGTTTTTTTGGTTATTCTTACAGATTGGTTAAAAAAAAAAAAAATGTGAAAGCTACATTACTGTGGTTTGTGCAGGTTGGGCCAGGCGGACATTCTGTGGGTGGCTAATCATTGCGGTAAGTCGGCTATACTTTGCGACAACTTTTCTTGGCAATGCAGTGGAAGGTACAGGCCCGCGTCCCCTCTCCCATTTTGAGTGTGCGCGGGCTCTCCTCCTCTCCCGGAAATGGGGGAGGAGGAGAGCTTTTCTTACACTCAAAATGAGAGAGGGGACGCGGGCCTGTACCTTACACTGCATTGCCAAGAAAAGTTGTCGCAAAGTATAGTTAATTAAAATTCGTGAATCAACTTTTTAATTGGTAAAAATAGACATGGTTCCAATTAGAAACCTGCTGAGCATCATTGAAAACCACTAAATCAACTATTTTTAGAAGGATATAACACCGAGGCAGCATCTTACGGCGTTCTGTAAAAATGCTTCATTTGGACACTTTCTAAAGTTCGGTTTCTTATCGGAGCGCCTCTTTGCGTCCGCGGTTCTGGTCCCCGGTGGTCGCAGCGCAAAGCCACCCCCTCGCCTCCCTCGTAGCATGGAGTTGTGTGCTGCGCGCCTCAGCCACTGGGGAGCAGGACTGCGGGTGCGGTGATGCGCTCTAATAAGAAACCAAAATCTAGAAACACATCCAAACAAAGTGTTTTTACAGAACGCCGTAAAATGCTGCCCCGGCGTTATATCCTATAAATAGTCGATTTGGTGGTTTGTAATGATGCTCTAAAAGTTTCTAATTGGAACCATATGTCTAATTTCACTCATTAAAAAGTTAATTAACAAATTTTAATTAATTAGCCGACTTAACGCAAATATTTGCCACCCACAAATGTCCGCCTGGCTGTATAGCCCACCTGCACAAACCGCATACATGTAGCTTTTACGGCTTTTTTTAAACATATCTGTAAGGATAAAAAAAAAAGACACCCTGTATATATATTCTGTACCAGTGACAAGGGAGAACATTCTCTCAGCCTCCACAGATCAACAAAAAGGGGGAGGGGGTCCCCCTTCTTTGTTGATCCAACCTCTATTCAGGACAAAGGGTCAATGTAAACATGCGATTGTGCTAGCTGGTGTTCCAGTGTAGAGATTTGACGATATAATAAAAGGACCTTTTACAGGGATAAAGACTTTTTATAATGATACATGCCACACCTGGCAGCGCTTTCTTGTAAATATTGCTCACAATTTAAATGGCTTTCACTGTGTTGATGTGTTTGTGTGTGTATATCATATCACTTTCAAAAGTTTGAAGGACCAGAACCATAAGAACATTAATAGTATGATGAACGTAAAATCACTGAAAAACAGAAATCCGATAAACGCTGCGATGTTAATGCAATTAATGCAAAGCTGCAGGCGAGCTGGACAGAACAAACAATAATCCATGATAGGGGGGAAAAAAACAAACACAAGATAAACACCGAATTCACGGTTAAAAATAAGCCCGAAAAACAAGACAAAAACACCTTCGCAATTTTATCGCAAATAAACCCCGGAAGTCAGGGACACCCATAATCAACACACAGATCACAGACCACAGTCTCGTGCCAACGTCAACAGCTCAGACAGATAAAACACCAGAACCAAAAGAGGAAGCTATCGAATCGACCCAAGAGCAAGGCCAGACTTTACACGCGCAAGAAAACTATCCCGCGTTTGTGACAGAATGGAAGTCACGATCCCAACCTGATACACAACTCCGTCGCATCGGCGGATCCGCCCAGTCAGCGCAGATCAAACCAACGCACATCGCGCCTGTATGTCCAACGTCAGTGATCGACAAACAAACACACAGAGCCCCTGGCCTGGGCAAACATCGGGGCGCACGCACGCAACCTTCCAGACTACAGCACAGCGATTGCGCGCGATGAACGGCAGCGCAAACGCTACGTGCAGTCGGAGGCAATCCCAATGCCGCGCGAGCGCCACGAGACCCACTGCAGGCACGCAGCGAAGCGCGTACCCACGTGACAGGTTCGCAACGCTGCATTGGTTGGGAAGGCGCTGGGCGTCCGCCACACTCCGCCGTAAGGTGAAACGAAGTCCTAGGACTCCCGAATCGACCCGAAAGACGGCCACGAATGACAACATGTCATTATCATCCCCGACACGTGAGCGTTGCGTGCACTGGCTCGAGAGGACTGAAAGGCACTGAGTGCTTCGCTAGATTCTTTCTCGTTTGCCTTGCCCCGTAGTACTTCGACGTTCGTGACTGCTAAAAAATCGTCGCAAAAACCGTAAAAATAAAATAAATAACGCAACTTTTTAAAAGTATAGTGTCGGCAATTTGAAAACCGTAAGAACGGAAAGGAGGTCCCGCATTGAACGCCAGCTTCCTGTCAGTAATTATAAAATACGCGAACAACAGGTTTTAGCTCCAGAACTCGGTAAAAGACCCGCCTCTAGCACGCGCTTGTAGCCTTGCAAAGGAGGGGCTTGGGCTGTCGTCGAAGACAGCCAAAGCCCTGCCTTCGATGAAGTATCACCAAGGGCAGAAAGCCCGCACTCGAGGTGCCAAATCTTGTCCAGTATCCGTACGCGATTTAAATTAAAAAGGGAGAAGAAAAAAGAAAAGAGGTGTTGAAGCTAGTGAAGAAATGGAGTGAGAAAAACTCGAAATTTGAAAACCAAACGTTCAAAACTTTTAACGAACACTGACCACGTGTTTCACCGCTGCACACCACCGTGCGCGGGTTATGAATGATTCAGGAACGTAAAAAACAGTCATTTCCTCCCGTAGAATGGCGCAACAGGTGAGGCGAGCCCACCAAAGCGTCAACGCCCAAGTAATTCACTCGGGAACTTCGGAACCGCCGAGAAACAAAGTCGTTGCTCACCTTCGTCGGACGAGAGCGAAGTTTTAGGCTGATAACAAGGGCAATCCGCGGCAGAACTTGAGAATAAGTTTGTTGATAAGCGCCAGACTCTGCTGTCTACGCAAAGAATGTTAAAATGGAGGAGACGGAACTCAACCGGGCGGTCCAAAAGAGCAGACGTTGCTCCCGTGCGTCGTCTGCGAAGTCGCCACGCGCGAGGAACGGCGGGATAGCATATGTGCTGCCACAGCGCGGTACGCCTTCAAACTACAGATCGCGCGGCAAAAACGAAATCAGATCTGAGGCGACGTTCGATCGACATCGGGAAATTCTTTCTTTTCTTTTAGAGATCAAGTAAACGAGCAAAAACGTTTTTATGCCTCTCCGCAGAGGCGAGTTTCTCCCGAGGAAACGATCTCAAACCAGGAAACAGATGTGCCGAGAAATGGCGCTTGTAAAATTGCCGCAGCAGAAGACGACGCGATAGCAGGCGACCCAACGCTCACGGGAGGCGAAAAATGGCTCCAATTATCATCCGGGGAAAATAACAAAAACGTACATTGATTTTAAAGCAAATCTGCTTTCTCTCTCCTCTTTCCTGACTCCACATCAACAATTCGGAACGAAATGTTCCACTCTCCACGCCGTGAAATGGAAGCGTCTCAAAAATCGATCTGAGCTAGCATTTTGGAGCTTGGCAACGTCGTAGTTCGCCGTACGATAGCAATTAATCGATTTTTTCCCCCCGAGATTGACGCGAACCTGCAATGAGCAACGAAACTAATCAAAAAAGTAAGAATTCCAACTACAAACGTTAGAATGTTACACTTATATCGTTCGATAATTGTCGCGTGACAATTATCGAACGAAGTCCAAATGCAGGAGGTCTATTGAACGGTAACTGAATGACACCCACCCAGGGCCACATATACACTCAGGGGCACTATTGGCGCCGTGGATGTAGGAAGCTTCTTCACATTTTACTTCAAAAATACAACGTGCCCCCCCCCCCCCCCCCCTCCACACACACACACACACTTTTTTTTTTTTTTTCGCAAAAATAAACGACGTTTTGACGAACGCATATTGCCTGCCCAAATGTATCGCTAGCAGTCCAAAACGGATGCCAAAGTTGCAGAACTAACCGTTATTTCTGTCAAAAGTTATGTTTCTGAAAATTTAAATGGGAAATTGGGACAGAAGGGTAGGGCGCAAACGAGCTGGTGGTACCTCCTTACCATGGTAAAAACACCCCGAGACTAGCAAAAAGAAAGGACGGACAAGCTCAGGGGTCATTGAGACCTCTGCGTTTGTCCGTCCTTCCTTTTTCCCAGCCTCGGGATGTTTCTACTATGCAGAAAATAAAACAAGTTTGCGCCCGATTTTGGGCGAAAACGGGTCATGGGGCCTACCTCAAAGGCACCGCGTAGCGCCGTCTGAGATGCGAGCAGAAAACAGGAGTGCACACACACCAAAATATTAACTAAAAAGAAAAAAAAAAGATCACCTTCAGCTTTGAACTGAGGTTGGGAACTTTTATTGGCTCTGAAGTTTTTTTACGCGATAGCGTTAGGGAGCTCGTGTCGGAGAAAAGCCGGCGTCGGTGGCGTGACGCGAAAATCCATGACGTCACAGCCACATGACCTCGCGGGGGAATTTCAAGCGATCCACAACGCTCACGTGATGTCACGCGTGGAATGAAAGGGATTAAAGCATGACATGTAATGCGAATTAAAAGTGGCGCCGCATGGCTCAAATGTTTTCACTTTATAAAGTAATTGAATTGCCTTAAAAAAATCAAAAATGTTTAGGCGGGATTCGAACGCACAACCCTACGGCTGCCAGCCAGGCCAACACCTCTTAGAGAGGAAGGCCGTAGTGCTCTTCTCGTGACGTCGCAAAGGAAGGCCATCGCGGGCGCGCGCGTCGAAGCGAAGCCACGCGCGTGGATCGACCGTCGTAACGCGCTTTTAGTCACATAGGCGTGTCTTTCCAGCTAAACTGAAAGCTGTACATAGCAACGGGTCTAGAAAACATTCTAATGCACGGCCAAAATATTACACCGCTAAATAATCGGTACGAAATGGCACGAGGTATGCGTATAACACGTCTATAGGGAGCAAGGATGGGCAGTATTTCAAATACAAGTATTTGACATACGTATTTCAAATACTTTGTGTATTTTGCATTTGTATTTATTTACAAATTGGATAATGTATTTGACGTGTGTATTTAAATTCTAAAACGTGGGTATTTCAAATACAATTGTAATTAAATACACTTTTGTGGGCGAAAATACATCCCTCAAATTTATTGTCACTGTCCAGAGCAGGAAGAAAACTACGTTCTGCACCGAATGCAGTGTCTCTCAATCAAGCACAGGCGTTTAGTGACTGTGATTACGGTGCTAGTCCAGGGCAAGAGGTGCGACGAAACCGACGTTCACAGGCAGACTGGCTAAATAAGTGCCTGTGACAACTTGTGATGCTTTCCAGCCTGATTTCCATCCATATTTTTGCCTGGGACATTCTAAATGCGCGGGTCGTCCAGATTCTCGTAAATGGTGCAAGTTGCAACAATAAAAAATTCTCTAGCTAGTGCTGCGCGTCATGGTCGTCTCTTTGTTGGTCTATACCAAAATGTAATCGACAAAAAAAGCTGCTTGAAGCTCTGTACTTTTTTCACCTATTACGTCCAAGCTGATTACATTTCTTTTTTTTATTTTCCTTTTTTTTTTTGTGATTATATTTTTATTACGTTACTAGAGCCTCGCACAATAACTCCCGAGTGTGCGATGCAAAATTAAAATGAGATACCCAGAAAACCGTTGCAGGTGCTTTGAAGTCGCTGACGCAGATTTTTGAGGAATGTATTTGGAAAAGTATTTGGAAGAGACCAAATACATTTGGTTGTATTCGTATCTTGTACTTAAACGCTTTTTTAGAAATGTAATTAGATTTGTAATTAAATACATTTTTGACGAAGTATTTTGTATTTGTATTTCGATACATATTTACATGTATTTTGCCCATCCCTGATAGGGAGTATTCACTGGCGGCCATATCCGTGTGCGCTGCTGCTGAGCGCGTGCTAACGGCGAGCTTCCGTAGTCCTTTTGGAGCGTGCATTTAGCACCATCAAGGTTGCCGGTCTAAGCAGGCTATTAATGTGAGCTCGTTCTGAGCATGCGCTCTAAACATCGCTCTCAAATATGGCGTCCAGTGAACACCTCCTATAGAAAAATGTGATTGTTTTAAGTCGAAAACATTTAAGTCATGCAATTATTGCCGTAGGAATCCATATTTGATACGGAAATACTTCGACAAAACGGCGAGACGCGCAGTGACTGGACACAGCTAAGCAGATCACAGTTAAAGTCAGGTAGACGTAGTCAACGCGGACATGGCTCGACAAGTGTCACTAACGATCATGTAAGCGATGTTATCGCGTGCAGTCACTGAATTCTTGCATTATACCCCAGCCATATGGCAAAATTAATGTAATTTCGATCGAATGATGGGGCCGACAAATCAGCTAGCGACGCTCGTATATTCACTCGAGACCGCGAGCTGATTAAGTCCCCATATCATTTAATGAAAATATATTAACTTTTCCGTGTGGCAGGGGTACTAAACTTACTACTTAGTCAACTAATTTACTTCGCCATATGGGCTCGAGCTGCCTTAGAACAAAATATAACTTATTTTGTATACAATACTACTATTATACCTTAATACAGTTAAGATTCTAGTATAAACGCGGTAAAGGCAATAAAATAACATTAGTATAAATAACCACATAACCACAAACAACGCACTTCCAATAATCCCACAAACTTGTTTTTCACCTTCCAGTGAAAACTAGATTACCACGCATATTTACACATGTCGACGCAAGCTGCACACGGATAAAGAAAGAACGAGATTCCACTCTATCACAAAATTAATTTTAAAAAAAACGATTGCAGCACTTTGCGTGCCTCCTACACGACCAAGAAAGCCCGATACGTCCCACAATATCCGTGATGAAAACATTTGAACACGAACTCCAAGAAGTCTCTCTCTGTCCAGAGAGTGGTCTATCGATAATCGACCAGAGTCATCGTCGGCTAGTTGTCACACATGTC